GGAAAGAACAGGAGTGAAGGAATAAGAAGAGTAAACCTCCCTGAACGACCTTGTTTTATAGTTTCAAACTTTGGCACCGTGTCAATGTGGCATGTAACTTTTATAAATGTACCAAAAAAAACAAAGCAATCCTGAAAACTCAACTGAAACAAATCACTCTAATTGTATATCAGTGATAGCACAAAGACAAAGTTAGTGACTTAACTTTATATCTCTAGTATAATTGATCTTAAGCACACAAAGAATTACAAGGAAATTCTTAATTTAAATAACATTCCATAGGCTTATTATCAGTAATAATATCAGCATTGTTATTTTGAAATTATAATATATTGTAATGCAGTTTGGAACAAAGACTTTCAGAATAAGAAGACAGCTACAAGATATAAATTCAAAAGTTAATTAAAAACCCTAAGATCTTTAATTTAAATGAATATGATTTATTTCTTTCCATTATAAAATTTTCAAACTTCTTAGCTTTGCCTATTGAAAACCCTAAAAGGAATGAAAACCCAAGAGTAACAGGCATCTCTAGGATCCAGATTATGGTCTCTAAACACCATAGTGTAGTGGGAACTAAAAGGAACCACTAAGGAAAATGGACAATTCCAGGTCTGGGCAGGAAACAGACAAGATGAGCTTGAGGTATCTCGTCATGTGAGAACACAAGCCAGCTACCAAAGATGACTAGAGTCATGTCGAAAGAACACAGGAGCAGATGACCAATAACAGGACTATCTGACCATCACGATAACAATACAAATAATAATGACTGCAAATAGACTAAAACACGTACACAATATTTCTTAATCCATTACCCCCAAAAAACTTACAAGTCATCTTTGAAGACTGTTAGAGCATTAACTCACTATTTTGTGAATTAATAAAGAAAAAGACTCAAGCATGTACCCCACCTTTCTTGTACTAACTATATTTCATGGTAACTAAATAGTTAATAAGAGAAAACTCTTCTTTACAGAAGAATCCTAGCTAATACACAAAGAAAGAATACACATAGAGTGATAGAAGTAGGGAGTCATCATTGTGCAATCTCTAATAAAATAATGGATATAGGTACCCATCATTTGGTAAACATTCATGGAGGAATTTATCATAGGAGCAGGCTGAAAAATCCTTGAACCCACTGATCATCTTAATATAATTAATATTTAGAAAAGTAGAGGGGCTGGCCCGGTGGCACAGCAGTTAAGTTCTCATTTTCCGCTTCCGGCGGCCCAAGATTTGCCGGTTCGGATCCCAGGTGAGGACATGGCACCTCTTGGCAAGCCATGCTGTGGTAGGCATCTCATGCATAAAGTAGAGGAAGACGGGTACAGATGTTAGGTCAGGGCCAGGCTTCCTCAGCAAAAAGAGGAGGACTGAGAGTAGTTACTGGCAGTAATCTTCCTCAAAAAAAAAAAAAAGAAAAGTAGATACTGTGTCCTTCTGATAATTGCAATGGGAAATACAGGGCATCACCTATGAAGTATTCTTGCCAAAAAAAGAAAAATTTAACTATGATTAAGCCTCTAGATATGACTACCAATGTATAGGAAATATGGGAGAAAAATCATCCAAAACACAGAAAATTGTACAGACAAACAACATATCCAATTTTTTCAACAAATAAATAGCATGAAAAAAGAGATGGACTATCATAGATCATAAAGGACTTAATAAGCATATTGACCAAATGCAAAGACACAAATAGGCGTAAAGTAAAAGAATGGAAAGTTACACCATGCTAACACTAGTCAAAGAAAGCTGGAGTGCCTACATTTATATCAGATGGAACAGATTTCAGAGCAAAGAATACTACCAGGAATAAAGAAAGTCATCTCATAGATGATGAAGGGGTCAGTTAGTCAAGGGGGGCATAACAATCTTGAATGTTTGTGAATAAAATTACAGAGCTTCAAAATACACGTAGTAAAAACTGATCGAACATCAATAAGAAATATACAAATCCACTATAGTTGGAGATTTCAATACTCCTCTCTCAATAATTCATAAAACAAGCAATCAGCAAATCAACAAGGATACAGTAGACTTCAACACTCTCAACCAACTTTACCTGATTAATGTTCATAAGACACTCCACTCAACAACAGCAGAACATACGTTTTTCTTAAATACACGTGGAACATGTACCAAAACAGTCTGTGTTATCAGACATAATACAAGTCTTAATCAACTTAAAAGAATTCAAGCCAAAGCATATTCTCTGACCACAACGGAATTTAATTAGATATCAGTAACTGAAAAATCTCCAGAAATATCTTAAACATTTGAGAACTAAAGAAAACATTCCAAGCCAATCCATAGATCAAAGAAGAAATCAAAGGAAAATTGAAAGCATTTTAAAGTGAATGAAAATAGACTTTTATCTCAAATATTTGAGAACTAAAGAACACATTTCAAGCCAATCCATAGATCAAAGAAGAAATCAAAGGAAAACTGAAAGCATTTTAAAGTGAATGAAAATAGGCTTTGAATATGATGTAGTCTACACAGAAATTGAAATATAATGATGTTCACACCTGAAATTTATATAATGTTATAAACCAATGTTACTGCAATTAAAAAAAAAATGAAAATAGGGGCCGGCCCCATGGCCAAGTGGTTAAGATCGCGCACTCCACTTCAGTGGCCCAGGGTTTCACCAGTTCAGATCCTGGGTGCAGACACAGCACCGCTCATCAAGCCATATCAAGGCGGTATCCTACAGCACAACCAGAAGGACCTACAACTAGAATATACAGCTATGCCCTGGGGGGCTTTGGAGAGAAGAAGAAGAAAAAAAAAGAAGACTGGCAATAGATGTTAGCTCAGGTGAAAAAAAATGAAAATAACATATCAGAATGTGTGGTATGCCACTAAAGCAGTACCTAGGGAGAAGTTTATAGCAACAAATGTCTCTATATCAGAAAAAGAAAGTTCTCAAATCAATGACATCAGCTTCTTCCTTAAGAAACTAGAAAAACTAGAGCAAATCACAAAGTAAGCAGGAAAAAAATGGAAATAATAAAAATCAAAGTGCAAATCAATGAAATACAAAACGTAATAGAGAAAATCAATGAAGCCAAAAGCTGATTCCCTGAGAAGATTAATAACATTGATAAACTTGAGCCATTCTCATTAGGAGAAAAAGAAAGAAGACACAAATTACCATTCAGGAAGCAGCTGGCATTAGATTCTACAGACATTAAAAAGACAATAAGGGAATATTATAAACAACTTTATGCCATAAATTTGGCAACTTAGATAAAATGGACAAATTTCTTAAAAGACACAAAATACTAAAGCTTACTCAAGATGAAATAGATAAACTAAATAGCCCTATATCTATTAAACAAGTTGAAACTGTAGTTAAAAACCTTCCCACAAAGAAAGCTGCAGGTCTTGATGCCTTCACAGGTGAACTCTATCCATCATTTAAGGAAGAAATACCACCAATTCTATGCAAAAACCCCCAATAAATTCAAGAGGAAGGAAAACTTCCCAACTCATTCTATGAGATCAGCAGTGGCCTGAGACCAAAACCACACAAAGACATCACAAAATAATTAGAAGATATTATGGAAGAGAAGTAGCAAAGATAAAATACTAAAAAATCTTAACAAGAAACGTGCAAAACTGGTATGAAGAAAATTCTGAAACATTCCGAAAAGACACAAAAGTATTTGTGAAGAAACTGAAAGGCTTTCACATTTTAGGTAGGACAACTCAACAACAAAAATGTCAATTCACCCCACATTAATACATACACTTGACATAATCCTAATTAAAAATGCCATCAAGCACAGAAAAACCTAGAAATCTTCTTGAGTCAAAAAGCAAAGACTCAAAAACTAATGGAAGCATATCAGTAGGGCACAGAACCCAGTCTGAAGTAGATCCCACTGACCTAACCGGGGATAATTTTAGCTTCAAAAAGAATACTGTCTGTAATTGATTATAAATTATTGAATAAATAAAAATCCAAGAGTCCAAAGTGACACTAAACAAGAAAGAGGGAGGGAAGAGAGAAAAAGGCCATGCTCAAAATCATTTCCATCATAGGAGGTAACTATTACATCAATTTCTTAATCTAAAATTGGCAGTTAAAGGGAAGGGACTAAAGGATTTACCCTGCTGTTATAGGCATTCACCCAGTTGATGAGGAAAAGTTCTTTACAAAAGCTCAGCTAATAAATGTAGAAATAATGACATGATTAGAAAATCCCTATTTTCTAAACTCAAACAAAAAACTGACTTAGGCAAGGACTAATAACGGATGTCAAATCCATTAGGTGAAAGAATTTTGGGAAACAGGATATTTCAAAATAAAGTATACAATTTCTGCTATAAAATGTTTCTACAAAAAATGTTAAACTTCAATCTATGCAAGTTTTTACACCAAACTTCCCGTTTATAGGATACAGAGGAATGCTAGCAAGAGGAAACAATCACACAAACTGAAATGGGGGGCCTTCTATTCTTTCCCACATTCCTACATCCCTTCTTTTCTTTCACTTGGCTGAAGTCCCCTCCTTTCTCTGTCTACCCCAGTCTCTGTTGCAGCCTTGATAAGCACAATAAACACTGATGCACTACATACAGAAGGGCTGGTTTCTCTTTATTCTTATCCTGGACAGGTGCTACTCTGGCCCAGCTGGCAAATTTACCAAATTCCTTTCAGAGAGCAGGGAAGAAGGTGGGGGAGGGGAGGAGGCCAAACAACAGGGAACATATCTGTAGAAAAGATGAGTACAAAATACACCAAGAAGGTCGAAAGTGATGGTGACGAAGGAAACAGAGCCAGAAGCTACAGAGATGAGATCTGGCCAAGGTACTTCACAAGTCCTGGACGATACTGAGAGGGTCTGAGAGGACAGAGGGCCGAACAACGATAAAGTGACCAGTTAGGAGGACAATTCTTAACTTGGACATAAAAATTGGTTCTCTGTTCTCTCCAACCTTTTAATTTCATACTGAAACAAAAACTCAATTAGTTTCACCTTTCTTGGTAAAGAGATTGCGAAATGTACCACACAGGTAGAAAATTCCACCGCTGTGCATATCAACATGGAGTTGGTAGCCATGCAGTCCATACTCTGGGTTGTCATCCAAAAGGGGGCTATGAGGAGGCAGCTCGTAGGGGCTAAAAAGCAAAACAAAATATACACACAAATTTGTCAACACCAGAGATAAAACGTTTGGATTGAAAATACTCTTTAAAAAATTAACATCCATTCAAAGCACAGCTCCTATCAAGCCTCTATAGGATTCCCAAGAACCTTCAATACTACGAACTCAAAAAACTGCTCCATGTTCCTTTTACCAACTTCTACAAAACAGTCAAAGATAGGTGTTCCGTAGGCATCCACAGGCCTCACAGGCAAACATCTTTCTGAGGTCTGCCCCAGGGCAGCAGCTCTGCAAAGCCAGCTCTGCTCCTCGTTGGTCTCAGTATCAGAGGACAGGACTGCTCAGCAGGAAAATGCAGCAACAAGACCTACAGCTTAGGGACCTGGGCAGAAGACCCCAAGCCACAACAAACAAAGTTCTACTCAGTAAGAAAAGCCTTCTGACATAAGGGAACAACTCAAAAGCATTAATTTTCTCCAGATAATAATAAAAATAAATAAAACACATATGGGACGGTCTAAGCCCCTAGGGGAAGGGTGAGAGCTACAGTGAAGGGAAGGCACAGTCCCTACCTGAAGACCTTCAAATTCATTAAAAGACATGCACTGCACAAACCAAGCAAAAGCACATCTGCAGGCCAGACCCAACAGGCCAGGGTTCTGTGTGTCTTGCAAGATATGGAAATTCACATTAGTGCAAAGAACTTGAGGCATCTTGATGCACCAGCATCTTGTAGTAATGAAGCTCTCCTGCCCCTATAAATAATAGTCTACTAGGTACCTAACCCTCTGCCGTTGTTAGTGCCGTCGAGTGGATCCGACCTCTCGTGACCCTGTGTTCAGCAGATGGGAGCCCTGCCTGGTCTCTGGGCGCCACTCTCACTTTCCGGCACTGTATCAGACAATGACCTGCTACTATTCATAGGGCTTTCATGGCCAGCCTTTTCAGAAATGGGTGGCCAGGTCCTTCTTCCTAGTCTGTCTTAGTCTGGAAACTCCACTGCATGATCCCAGAACAAATAAAGCAAATACGTACTCATAAATAATCCAATTATTTTAGCAACAGCTAAGTAATTATGCCTGTTGGCTTGTGTCTGATTAAAAACAGAATATCTTTGTAGCTAGTCTCAGGATACTAAGATGGTATCAAGTTCTAATCCGTTCTATCGACTGTACAAAAATTTAATACACCACAAACAAATACATACATAGTGGCTGAGCCTAACGTGCTCCTCTCCACAAGGTGATGGAAATGAAGATTTGCCATAACAAAAGCCAGTTCTTCCTCCCTCTGAAAAGTTAATTAAAAAGAATACATTTTTCAACTGAAATATTTTAATTTTTCACAAGGTCGTTGTGAAGATCTCAGCACATTCATCTTACAGACAAATGCAGTTTCTTACAACTCTAGGATCACCACGGTGCTAATGCATTATTACTGCTAATACATTATTACTATCTAATAAGACTTCTTTGTCATATTGACAGCAAGACCACAATTCACCCAAACATGCAGAGCATGCAATAGCAAAATGTTCACAGGATGTCTCCCATACTAACTTGTGAGACATCAAAATACTGTATTACATATGATGATGGTGAAAATATATTGTTAGTTCCAGGTTGTTTCAAATTCTGTTCAAAGATAAAGACAATACTGGTAAGACCTTCACAGATACAAGATTAATTCCACAAATACTTAACATTGGTGGCATAACATTCTTCTCTCGAGTACCTGCTTGACTTGGCAAACCCAGCGGGGGTGATTAGATTCAACTCTTCACTCACCCATCAGGTTGAGCAGCAGAAAATGTGGCTGCACAGGAACTGATACCTATTTCTCCCCAAATTCACAGCTGGACTGACCAATGTAGGTAACCCAGAATGGTAAATCTGAGGGTGCCATTCTCAAGTAGCCAGACAGAGGACAATCAGATCAACCAAAGTCCTCATAACTATGTGGGCCAACATATACTGATGAATTAAAAAAAGGCAAGCAAGCAGCCTGCTGTCTTGCCCACAAGCCACCACCACACACAGAAAGGGAGGGAGGGAAAGAAACAGTGACTACCATAGCAGGTTGAGAAAAGAAAAAGGTACGAGAGGCTGCTGCTGTAGATCTTGGTTCTACCTAATCATCATACAGAGACACGTGCTGCTATTCTCAGAATCAAATTTGTGAGCTACTATCTTAAAACATCCATAGGCCAAAGTCACAGATTTAAACAAACCTGTGGTGTACAGAGGCACATCACACTCTTACGTTCTTCACTGAAGTGACTGCCCAGAAAACAACCCAAGAGGAGGGAGCTAGGCAACAGGCTCAGCCAGCGAAAACAAAAACCTCACCGAGTGGGAAGGCTAACTCCTCAGACGCTTTACCCTGAAGGGCAGGTTACACTCAGTGTCTACAGGATCAGAAATACATTAGAGGGACTGCCAGGTTCAACGCACAGTAAGAGACTTTGGCAGAGAAAGGACCAGAAAAAAGGAACACGGATTGACTGGAAGGAGAAAGGGGGAAGACCCCATGATGTTAAAGCAATAATGTGAACAGAACCATCCAGGCAGGAATAGGTAGCTTATCACTAGTGACAGCAGAACTGCAGAGTAGTCCCAATGGAACAGAGGGTCACTTAGCTAGAAAAATGCAGCTGGTAAGATGGTAAAAGGGAATGCAGTTAGTGAGAAGTCTAAAGGACTATACTCTTGATATGATGCATAATGGTGAGTAAACGTGGGATTGTGAGTGAGGAGATGACAGTACATGCAGGGACTCAAATCTTACCTTCCACAGCCCCACCAGGAGGCCTGGGTTTAGGCAGAAGATCCGAATGAGTCTGTCACAGCCAAACATGGTGGATGCAGTTAAATTACTCAGATTGTACTTTGCAATTAAAGAATGCCATCGAGGTCTTTGAACATCCATGCCAAAGAAAGGAAAGAAATAAATGAGCTTTCACATCTTCAATGTTGTCAATTCTCTTTAGCGTATCTAAAAATACTTTGGAAGAGCATGCTAATAATGTGCACATTGCTAATAAGGCACGTGTCAAGGGGCAGGGGGACACAAAGAACTTGTATAAATAAAAGGCAAAGCGGACACATCCAAATTCCTCTCCCAACTATGTTTTTCTTCCCTCCTTCTTGCTCTTACTGTCAACTCAGTGGCCTGGTCAGAAGCACACTGAGGAATCATGTAGGTGAGGAAGAGGAAGAACTGTCTTCTTGTCCATTCCCCTCAAACCCAGCACAGTGGGTTTCTCCCTATGTATTCCTAATTAGGTGAGGGAAATAATGCAGAAGCAAAGACGAAATACTTAAATGGCAAAACAGCAAGTGTTCTCAGCGGGCCATGTGAAAGCAGACATACCTTTTAAAGTTATTATCAAGAGCAACTCAGAGATATTGAAAACCGAAACATTAGAAAATAAATTTAAACCCAAATCATGAGTGTTTGCATAAAGGAGATACACTGTGAACTCTATATTAGAATTAGTGTCTAAGAGTAAATAACTTAGATGTGTAAGAAAACAGAACTCAACTCTCCCATTCATCCTAAGACTTAAAATCAACACAGTGAAACATTCTGTAAGCACTATAATGGTAGACATAGAGGTCTGTCATTCCCAGGAACCCAGGGACAGTGCAGGAAACTAAGAGAGGGGAGATCTCAATGGTCAATTCACAGAGCAGAGCAGAGAAGAAAGTCTCTAAGGAGCTGGGCCACATTGCATTCAAGAGTTCACCTCCAGGGGCTGGCCCATGGGCATAGTGGTTAAATTCACCCGCTCCACTTTGGTGGCCCAGGGTTCACAGGTTCAGATCTCAGGGGCTGAACCTACACACCACTCATCAAGCCATGCTGTGGCAGTGTCCCACACACAAAATAAAGGAAGACTGGCACAGATGTTGGCTCAGGGCCAATCGTCCTCAAGTGAAAAGAGAGAAAAAAAAAGAGTTCACTTCCAACACCAAAGGCACAAGCCAGCAGGCGACAGGTATTCAAATGTTCATTCAGTAAAAGAATTCAAAAACCAAAGAGTTCAGCTGTGGCACTGTTTCAAAGCAGAGGGCCTGTAAGGATCAAAACCAGATCCACAGCTACCAGACTTCCCCACTCCCTTGTTTAATTTTCAGAGAACTTCTTGTGCTGAGAACACATTAGGTAGGGAGAGGCGGTAGGTGAGCATACGTGTGATGGATAATCTAAAAAGAGGGCCAGCATAGGTAGAATATACTGGGAAGAAGCGGAACTCAGGGTTTGGAATCTAAGTGTGGAGTCATGGAAACCACAGTTGAGACCTTAGCTCCAACCCTCCAGACCATCTCAGACTGCCTTCACCTGTGTAGGGGGAGACCACCAGCCACCTAAGCGGGGAGAGTGGAAAAGGAAATGAGAAAATATTACTAGAGTACTTGGCACACACCAGGCACTCAATAAGCAGCAGTCACTGCTACTCTCATTATTAATGTGGACAGACGAGGCCGGGAGGGTGTGAAAACCCTCCTGCCATTCTTCAGTGTGCCCAGAGCTGGAGTGGCCTCAGAAACACGGCCCCAGAGCAGTTTAAACAGATCCACAGAGAAGGAGCTGGGTCTCCATTTGCCCCAGCCTCACGGGCCCCTGAGAGAGAAACTAAGGCTGATATTTACCCAACATTTCTCACAAATTTGGGGAGGTATAGCATCAACTACAGAATGGAGAACACTGGCAAGAGAGAAAATTTAATGAGTCTGACTAGAAAGGTATAAGTTACAGGGAAATTCAAACTGCAAATTACATTAACAACGCTTTCACTGTTCTTGAAAAAATTCTCATGGAGGAAACAAAAAAGACTGAACTAAAAACCACCAAGTCTCTCCCTCACTGTCACACAGATGCATACAAGGATTTGTATTTTTGCATGATGAAAGCATTTGCTTACAAACTTGCAATAAAAGTGCCAATAAGACAGATTCCTGAAAAACATTCTCAGGGTTTGTTTACCACTGTTTATCAAATGCTGACTGAAGTCCACTGAGTTTTAATTTAAATAAACTACATTAAATGAACATTCCCAGTGAACTCTAGCATTTCTGTCACTTTGCAGTATCTAGTATTCCTGACCTGGATGACAATTTTCAGAAACACAGCCTCTTTAACTGAGCTTTACAATTCAACACTATCCATTTAAATTAGTCTTTCATGATCATTTTAATTGATGTTAACAATTTTGTCTTAATACCTATAAACAATATTTCATGATATGCCAAGTAACATATTGTTCAGTCAAATTAGTACAAACGTCGTGCACTCATTCTCCAAACATAATTTCATTAAGCATAAAACCTAAATTCTGCATTAGAAAAATCTGGTGTTCATCAATAATATCACATGAAATTTCAGAGATTTATCCAAATAAGGGTACCATTTTAAAAAGTAACCGTGTTTCTAAAATATCTGCAGTAATATAATCAGGGAAAGTATTTCACACGTTTTTCTTCATAGCATTAAGACAGTTTGAGAATACAATAAAACCTGGATTTACCAGCACTAAGAAGTCTGAGACTCTCACATTCACAGCCTGACAGCTAGATCAGCAATCACTAAAACAATCCTCAAAGAACCAGCACCAGAGAGAGGAACCACAAACAAGGATCCCAGGTGTTAAATTGCAAAAATGTGTCCCTATCCAGGGAAACCACGAACAGTGTCCCTCCAAAGAGACAGCAGGCCCTAAGGTGAGATAGCTCAACACCTTCCATAGCAAGGACATGTGTGAGAGAACCCAGTGGGTGGGACTGTAGCACACAAGGCTGGTAAGAACAATAACGTGGTAAATCCCACCGCAACATCAAAGGACACCGAGACAGTGAAGGAGGTGGTCAAGAGCAGGACACCAACGCTGGAGAAGGCAGCTGTCACTTTTGCATTTGCCATGACTTTTATACAAAGATACTTCCCTTGGTCAGGAGGTCAGGATGCTACACATGCCACAGTTCAGCTTTTAGGAGAAAACGACATGGTGAGAAAAATGAGCGTGAGAGATTCGCTGGTAAAAGCAAGACGCAAGCCTTATAATGACTGTGTACTTAGCACAAAGCCACCTCATGACAAAATAACAATAAGTACTCAGTAAGCATCAGCAACATGACACATACGTATGTGATTTATGCACTTGACAATGAAATCTTTTGACAGTCTTCACAGTGACCATGCATGCTAAATACATCACTATCAGCACGTGTGTATTTATGTATGTGTGTATCGCCACCCCACTTTACAGATGAGAAAATGAAGGCACAGAAAGAGTACGTTACTTGCACAAGGCCACATATATAGTAAGTCAAACAGAAAATCACATAAAAACAACTAATTATTATGACTTTATGATCTAATGTTTAAATTAAGATTATTGTACCATTTACTAAAGAAGGAAAACATAACAGTTTTATATATCTTTGTGTTAAAATGGTTAAAACTCACAAGGTTAGCCATCAAATCATCCAGGAGATTTTGTTAACTAGAATATCATTCCCTAACCATTATAGATAACAAAGATATGAGGAACCTAAATTTAGACCTAACCATAAATGTGATAAACCTATTCTTTTCCTATTCTATGGTGATCCACAATGAAAGAGAAGTCTTTAAGATGCAATCAAATTAAAATGCACTGGTAGTATTTTTTAATTACAAAAGTAACGCCAACTAATATTTATATGTAAGATGTTCTTACCCAAATTAGTACTTACCCATTTTTCATGGGGGTTTTAGACCGGTCCATAAAAACTGGTGTCACACCACACAAATCTAAGGTTGACAATGTGGCTAGAAGTGGCCAGTTTTTGCCATACCACACAACTGTAACTGATGAATCATTTACTGAAAGATCAACATGCTCCATCATGTACTCTTTTCCACTTTTTTCTTTCAATATAATTACCCAACCTAAACCAGATTTTCTGGAGAAAGAAAAGCAAGCTAGAAATGTTTGCCTCAATGGGAAAAAAAAAAAAAAAGAAAAGCTAATGTCTATTTCACACATCATTTCTAAAGCATCTAGTTCCCTAAAAGCCAAAGTCAAAGTTCTCAGAACATGCTCAATGTTAATTTTCATTTCACCAACAGTTCTGTCTTGAGAGTTTTTCTCCTCACCAAATGCACATTCATGGAACAATGTTCTAGGTACAAGCAATACACAGATAAGCAAGACAAAGCTTCCACCCAGAGGGAGAGGTGCCTTGAATGCTCCTGGCTTTACTAGAGCAAATTACTAGGTTATTTCTGCTTTTCATAAAACCTTCAGCCCATATATACGGAATGGGAAAATACTTGGTATTTTATAGATACACAAAAACACATAAATAAACAGTCCCTCACAATATGAACTGCACATGTCCTATATACACAATACTTTAAGCTTATACTATCATTCTTTTTTTAAAGCATTTGCATATTTAAATGTCTAACAGTACTCTCAAATAACCACGATGCCCCTTCTTAAGAAGCCACTGCATACCTGAGGGCCTCTTTGGTTTTAACAGGAAGGCCTGTGTAAGGGTTGACAGGTTTGAGAACCTGAGCTAGTGCTGCTTTTACAGATGCTATTTGTTTTGCAATATATTCTTTCTTCCAATATCCAGCTTCTTTATCCTCAACTGACAATAAGTTCATAGTCACAGCTGTCTTCTCTACTGAATTAACTTTCCAATTAGATCTCTTAGGTGAAAAGGCAGTTGAGTAGATTCTGATCCAAATAAAACTGGGGGAAAAGAGGAAATATGTTAACTGTCTAAGAGACACTGTCATGCACCTGTAGTAGCAATATATTAAATTAGAGATGTACAATAATCTTTAGTATAATTCCATGAATAAGTCAAGCTGACCATATGCCCTTGTTCACATGTGAAGGTGAACTGTAGTTTGAGGTAAGTGTTTTAGATTCACCAACCCCAGAAACACAAACAAAAAGGAAAAGCTTGTTTTCCAAGGTCAAGTCAAAATGAGTGATCTCATGTTATGCGGGATCATCCAAACTACTGCCTTCTCACACCAACAATTGAATAGGAGATCTATTATAGAAAAAGAGGATGGAAGAAGTGTATACAACGGGATTCCTATCTTATTTGAAAGATATACTTTTTTTAAAAGATCAGAAAGAATATATACATACATACACACAGAGAGAAATGTCTACAGTAACTGAATTCTATATTCTTTTTGCTTTGTATATTTTAATTTTCAACAATGAGCATGAACTACTTGCACAAAGAAAAAAATGAAGGTTGTTAATAACAACTAACAATGACAGTTAACATTTTTTCAGCACTCTATGTTCAGCTTTGTTTCAGCACTTCATACCTTAACTCATTTAATCTTCACAACGAATCCATGAGGTAGCTACCATTATTGTCCCCATTGAGCAGACGACGTAACTGAGGCCCAGATGCAAAGTGATCCGGCCCAGGTCTGTGTACGTGAGTAAGTGGTAGAAGCGGGGCTGAATCCACGCAGCCTCAACCAGAGCTCACATTCTCATCCCCTGTACTTCACTGCCTCATCAGTAACATAAAGAAATGGGCTCAAAGAAAGAATAATTTTATCGAAATTCAGAAAGCAATGCTGGAATTCAAATTCAGCTCTGGCTCAGAGTCTGTGACCCTCCAACTCACCACTGAGAGGCCCACAAGAAGCCACATGAGCAGTGGCAGTTAACAGGGGCCAAAACTGAGCCCAGGGTGCCTCTCTCCCAGCCAAGGCTCTCCATCAGGGAAGAGAAGTAAACTTCTCTTGGGGGAAACTGAGGCAGGGGTTAAAATCAATTTCCTAATGTGAAAGGTGAATTTTACATAAATAAACTTAATTATTTGCTAATTTATGTCCCCACATTTCTATTTAGTGCAATAAGGGAGAAACGGCCAAGAGGCAGCTGGGAGAGGGTGATTTCCCCATAGAAGGGGACGATCCTGAACTGCAGGAGGTCCATGGGAGATGCCACAGAGACTCTGGAGGGTAAAAACTGTTTCAGTCATCCAGAAAGCACCGCAGCAGAAAAGGAGCATTTCTCAAACATACAACTTGGGAACACATCTCCTTGACCCAGGCATTACATGGACAAACACACATAATCAGATTCCTACTGACATCTCTTTTAAGTATGAGTTTTAAAGTCATTTCTCATCCCACAAAATCATTTATTTATATCATGCTTTTCCCCTTAAAGCATTTATGCTTTCAGTTCAGAAATGTCTAGGCTTTCACATGTGAGCTAATAGATGCAAAATGATGATTATTTGAGTACATCTGGGTAACAAAACTGTTTCATCAAAATCCCTTGAATGGACACTTTTAAAAACTACCTTTGCATAAAAGCTTGTTGGTGTTTTCATCGACTTTATTTTACTCATCATTTCACTCCATGTAAGTGATCCTTCGCTTTAGCAAGACTTTCACTGAACCTCAAATTTCTCCCATCAGCACTACGTGAACCATGGCTGATTCTATTTTGTACCTGCTGGAGCACTCACAAACCACACACACACACACTGCCGTGGAGAGGGGAAGCAGAACACGAACCCCACACATCTCCAGTTATAACTACACCTAACCTTTGCACGAAGAACCACTTTCACATACATTATCGTACTGAATTTACTGTGGGGCCTAAAGAGAATAAAAACATCTTACAGAATTAAAATGTTGTGTAGATTGTTCCCCCTGACTATTTATAAAATACAAATATGAAGTTTAAGATGCTTTTAACGTCTCCAAAACCCAAAAACATTCACTTCTTGATCACCAAATGCTCCGGTCCTGTTAAAAAGCTAAGGTGGATTTGAGAACAAGTGCATATTTATCTAATCTGACTATCAGTCAGGCACAGAAAGACTCCAATCCAACAAGTTATTCAGCAAATGGGGCTAATTTAATGTTCTGATAAACAGTGTTTCCCAGAGGGATGGAAAATAAAAACCCAGATGATAACAACCTGTGATAATCCAGATCCAGCCTGATGCTGCTCCCCTGTCATCCCCTCGCAGAAACTGTGCTCACACTGATGTCTGTAACACACACGGCAGGGAGGCAGGCCCCACTGATGTAATGGGGTGTGGGGAGACCCCAACCCTTCAAAGGTGTCTCCTCATACGTCAAGAGTATAACTGACTAAGGGCATGCTCCTGTCCTGTCTTCAGAAGCAACACTTAGAAAATACCATTAGTTTTCAAAATCATCTACTGTTTACACATTTGATTGTTAATACATCCTTTTATGAAGGCAGACTATGACTCTTAACAATACAGTTCAACTTACACAATTAAGATTTATCCTTTGAAAACGAAAAACATGAATGCAATTTCATCAGAAGCTCAGATTTTTTTAAAGAACAACATCCAAGAAAGTGACGTGGATACACAATTACTACTAAAAGTATGCAATGAATATGACTAGAGCTATGGTGCCAAATTCAGAGAGGCCTGCACCATCGAGGCCTATAAAGTTAAGCAGAGAGAGGTGATATTCAGAGAAAGTAATAAATTTATAATTTATCAGCTTATCTAATTAAATCTGAGTTCTACCCTTAAATAAAGTAAGAATCCTCCAAAAAGCTACAGTTTTAGACGCTTAGTTGACCCCTTCCTTGAAAAATGGCTCACTGCACTTTGTTTTAGTGAATGCCTTCATCTCTTCTTAAGGTCATCATGGAAGAGACACATAAAAATTGCTCTACATTCATTCCAGAAACTTGGTCAAGAACTTCACTCGTTATTTCACTCACTGATGGGTGTGTGTGTATACTGACATAGACAGACAGACGTTTTCTCATACAGGAACATTCTTCTAAACTAAAAGATAAGAAAAACCACCCTTCTCAACCCCAGAATGGTATATGTCCCCTTCTCATTACAAGAACTTGACTGTCATTAGTATGATTTAGAGAAATTTTTAAAATATAGGTTCCAGAGCATAGAATTAATTAAAATCTCCAGAAATGCAGGCTAGAGATCCAGCTGGTTCTACTGCAGCCATTCTGTGACTGGCATGTGAGAACCATGGCACCGGATAATGTTTCCTGCCCACTATGTTCCAAGATTAAACAGCATTACCACTCTCCCTCTGTCATTATCCACATCCTTATCTATTAAACAAACCACCAGTGAAATCTGCATCCTCACTTATCTTGACTCTTCCCTGGTTGATATGTGGGGTCTACATGGGAATGACATCTGTCTGATCTACTGATCTTAAGGAGAGAGGGACCTAAAAGCCACGATGTTCAGCTGTAAGCCACAAAATTCTCACCAGAAGTTAGGAGGATTCCACTGTCTCACCCTCCAAGATAAAATTCTGAGCTGCAGACAAAGATGACAGTGACAACACAGAAGAAGGGGCTTCGCCCCTTGTCCCCTACTAGCCCAGGTGAGCTGGGTGCACCTCATCTCCGCCGGCTTCCCGTGGTAGAGCACTCTCACCTCTCTGCAGCCCCTTCACGCCTCCCTGCAGAGCAAGGGGCCACGGTTGGCAAGTTTGGGTTCTCCCCAAATACACCTCACGGAGCCCCGTCCTCTTCTTTCTTCAGGATCTGCTTGACTGCCAGCAGAGCAGTTTGCCTGCTCTGCCAACCCAGGGCCAGGTTTAGCCAGAGGCAGGCTGAGACTGTGTGGCTAAGCCCGTCTGCCTCTGGCAGACGCAGCAAGTCTTCCTGGCCAACAGACTAAAAGCCACTTTCTCCAATAGTTACACCAACAACAAGTTTGATCTTTCTCAGTTCATGCAAAGGATATTCCTTTCTTCAAGCAAATAAATGCAAATCTTTGAAGATTATATCATATGACTAAAGCATGAGACATATTATGTCTCTGTCTAAAAATAACTCAAAGTTCTTTTAAATTTTAAAAATTGGTTAAAAAGCTCTTACGGTCTTCACAACTTCCAGAAAACGCCATCAAAACATGACAGAGAGAGTTGGGTTTCTCCTTACTTGTCATTGGCCAGATGGTAAAAGCGCCTGTTCACACATCCGGTACACAGTAGGGTCCCAGCATCCAAGTAGGAAAAGATCTTCAGCAAGATTTCTGAAGGCATACTGAGATGGGGGAGAAACGAGAGAGGCGGGCCAGTGTTTAACCTACGAGTTACCCAGAAAACTGGCTGTTCATCTCCAAATAGAAGGCAATAAACAGACTCTTGCTGTACAAGAGGCACCCTCATCTTCAATTGTTTTCTCGATTGATACGCTCTGGTTATTATAATTCTCATGACATAAACCAGTGTGGACACCAAGGGGACAAAGAGCTAACTTCCTTGGCATTTTGATCACATTCTCACACTGTGAATCAACAGGCAGGATTTCACTGCCTCCCTCATGAAAGTACGTATTATTCATTGGGGAGATAAATGGAAATAACAGACGAGACAAAGAATGCATTCTTAACTATTAATAAGCAAAACACAGAATCCCCCCGCCTCCAAAAAAACAAACACACTAAGTGGAATAGAAAGTATCAACTAATTTTGCACCTAACCTCAGCCACTCTCATGCACCCTCATCCTGCATGTCCTCACACTGCGACTGTTCTGCTGGGGCTTCACCGCAGCACCAAGCCCCTCGTGGCTCCCGCTCTCCCTCTCTCAGCAGCACTTAACTGACCATTCCCTGTTTCACAGCGATCTTCTCTTCTGGTTCACAAACACCACCCCCCCTCAGTTTCTTGGACCTCACTGGTGTTTCCTGGCTCCTTGGTTGGTTCTAAATGTCCCAGTTCCTCCGAGCTCGCTTCTGAGCCCCTTTGCTTTCATGTCTACACTCTCTCCACAAGACATCGCGTCCATTTCCGTGGCTGCAGACTCCTCCCAGACCTCACCCTGACCTGGACTCACATACCGGCTGTCCATTCGGCATCCTCATTCCACATGCCCTAGGCATCTCATCTCTAACTCTCTCCCACCCCCGACTCCAAGGCCTTTCCTTCCCACAAACAGCACCTGCGCTTGCACATCAGCTCAAGTCAATAGTGGCAGATTCCTGTTTCACGTCTCTTTTCCTCTCCCACCTACATCTAATTCATAAACAAGTCGTGGGAGTTACACCCCTAAATATGCCTCAAATTTGCCTATGTCACTCCATCTTCCGTCCTTCGAGAGAAGGGAGACAAGTAAATAAGTAAACAAGACAATTTTAGAAATCCAATGACATCACACCTCTGTGCTTAAAATCACCATACCGTGAATAAAGCCCAAGCGCTCCTCCCCACAGTCTCTGAGGCCTGGCCTGATCTGGGCCACCTCTCCCTCTCTTCACTCACTGCCCACTGCCCAGCGCCCGCCGCTCCTTCAGCATGTCAAGCTCCTGCACCTCTGTCACTTGGCTTCCCCTCTCCGGATGCCCTTCCCCAAGCTCTTTAATCTCAATTTTCAGTTCTCAGCTTAGATGTCACCTCCTCAGAGAAGTCTTTCCTTACCATCTTACCCTCTATTCTGGATTACAAGTCCATTTGTTTTCTTGATAGTTCATATCCCAATTTATAATTCATTACTTTTTTTTAATCTGTCTCCCCCACTAGACCATAAGCCTCATGAGAACACATGTGAGTGGCTCGCCATTTGTGTCCCAGCTCCAAGCACAGTATCTGGGATGGAGAAGGTCCTCGAATATTTGATGGATGGATTAACTGAATGAATATTTGTTCTATTTCTCCTATCAGATTATTGTACGACAGATTCTATTCCCAGAGTATACAGTTTAAAGCTTAAATTGATGTCCTTAATTAAATCCTTCTTTTTGGCTTTTCATTTCTTTTTAATAACACACTAAAAGTATGTACACTGTTAGCAGAGATAGTTATGATATAGTATTAAAAGCCCAAAACCTGAAATCAGGTAATTTATACTTGAACCTGAATTTTGCAATATGTAGATTATGTGAGCCTTACTTCCTCCACTGTAAAAAGTCTATCTATAATAATGCCCAGCTCTCACGGCTCCACACAACACTTAGCATGTAGTTGGTGTTCCATAGATGTTAGTACAGTACAAATCCACAGGCATCTCAGCATCAATTTCAAGTAATAATTTTTTTAAAAAAGATTCTACTGATCTCGATGCTGGGTTCACAGTACAGAATCTTGCCATGGCAAAATGGATTCCCAAAACACTGAAAGCTAAGAAAGTCAGAGACCTTTCGAGATTTTGCAAAATAGACTTCAATCTTCTTCCTCCTTTTTCAAGGGTCTTTATCAATAATTTTGAAGAACCTTTTTTAAAAAGGAAAATTAAATTTACTTGTCACTTTTAGAAGTTTAGCTTCATAAAATTAGTCTAATAATGATAGTGGTGACAGGCCAATGACTCATATCAAACTCTCCATGTTGTACATTCTTCCTACACAATTCTATTCTTAGGGAGCTCAAAATAGCAACTTGGTATATACAGCGTTACCACTTTCTCTAATAACTCCATTCCTACAGCCCCCAAAAAAGTGGCAGACTGCTTCTGCTACTTACCTATCCAGAGACACAGAGCAGTCAGCAGAGGCTCTCTCGCAGTGCCTTTCCCGTCTGGCATGTTGCTTCAGAGTAGCACAGCCTGCAGCATATCTGATACATGGCCCATTCCTGAAAGTAAACATGGAAAATTCAAATTATAATGAAAGGTGAACTGTCCACTCCCCTCTATAAAATTTTAGAGGATTCATAAACTCCAAAGACTACTCGCTGTAAAACTTCACCTCTGCAAAGAAAGAAAGGCAAGGTGAGAAGGAAGGAAGGAGGGACTATGAAACATTCAGTGTCCTGAGTAAGTAATCCTGAAAACTGGACTTACTCTCGTGTGTTTTAAACCTAAGATTCAAAACTTGCTTTTATTAGAGCACATCACAGAGGCGCCGTACAATGTGTTTAATGGAAACAAAAAGGATAAAGCAGTTTGGCTAGTTTCAATAACACAACAAGAGAAACCCAATAAAGATAGCATCGATAGAGTTAAAAAAAAAAAAAACCTGTAGATGTGTAAGCCAGAACTGCCAACACGATCTACAATTTCACCGACCTTTGAGGGATACGACTGGGTCCAACTCTAGATTTGGCAGTCACAGCCAAAGAAGTACCAAACACTCACCCACAAATCTGTTCACATTTTAACATCTCACATTCAATGGAATATATTTTAATTGGCCATCTTTTTTTTTATTTTAGTGGTACATAGAATAATAGTGAATCTTATAATTAATGGCTTTTAAGATTCAGTGAAATAGGGTATAATATTTTATGCAGTTAGTCCTTTTCAGAAGTTCCTAAAATAAATTTCTATTAAAATCAGTCCTCAAAACCAGCAGTACTCAACAGCAGCTTGCTGAGATCTGAAACACCCAGAAAGTCATGGAGCTCACAGCCTCCCATTTCTAGGCAGCAGCCCATGGAGAAAGCGCCTAGTGGATATGCTATTTCTCCTGAAGCCCTGGAAGCTGCTTGTTTACCACATACGTGAATCAATTATTGACCCACCCCCGACCCAGCACACTACTGAAGCAAATGATATCTGGAGGACACAGTCTACACGTTCAGTTCTCCAACACCAGCGCTCAGAGCACATACTTGGTTCACCAAGAGCGTAACTACCCTCGTTTTTCTCACGAGGCTGATTCCCTAGATATACTTGGACTAATACTCAGAGGATGGCCCTGGACCCCGAACACAACCTGCTCTTAGGAAGCACGGGGAGTGTATCGCCCACAGCCTCACTTAGCCTGCTCCCTCCTGCAGAGACAGGCACACCAAGATGTACACACGTCAGCAAGCACTCCAATCACCTCATGATTCCCCATGTGGTTCTGAGCAGCCGGAGAATGAGTTTCTCTTCCCTTGGCAGATTTTTCTCTTTAGAAACAAACAGTGGCTGGCACATGGCAAGCCCCAATAAACATTAGCTATCATCTGCATGATGGCACTTCAACCTAGGAGAGGTGGAACACAGTAACCTTTGCAGATCCCGGAGGGTAACAAATTCACCACGGTAAAAAAATGCAGGCTACCCATGCCTCTCCATTCCAGCTTCAGCAAAAGGCACTCATTGTTCTTTTTGTCTTCTCTGACTTTCTAGCCAATGCGTACCAGGAAATGCAAAGCAGGGAGGCTGAGCCAGTGGTTTTCAATCTGTGCTCTGCAGAATAGAAAGGAGAGGCGGAGAGGGCAGGAAGAGATGCTAATCTGAAAGCTTTGCAATGCACTCGCCCCCTTTAATCAGAAAATTCACCTATGCAATATATTTTTGTACTTCCTTTGAAAATTTTGTTTAAGCAAAGATTTCCACAGCAGAAAAGCTTCAACTCCACTGCCCTGGTTCTAACAGAGTAATCAGAGGTGAAATACAATTTCCTGATTGTATTAGTTTCCTAGGGCTGCCTCAACGAAGTACCTCAAACTAGATGGCTTACAACAACAGAAAGTTATCATCTCACAGTCCTAGAGGCCAAAGTGCAAAACCAAGGTGTGGGGAGGACCCGCTCCCTCGGGAGGCTCTAGGGAAGAATCTTTTCTTGCCTCTTCTAGCTCCTGATGGTTGCCAACAATCCCTGGTGTTCCTTAGCTTGTGGCAACTAAGCTAACTGACTCCAACCTGTTCCATCTTTACCTAGCCATCTTCCCTCTGTATGTGTATGTCTGTGTGTCTCTTCTTATAACAGCATCAGTCATATTCCATTTAGGACCCACCTTAATCCAGTATGACCTCATCTTAACTAATAATATCTGCAAAGACCCTACTTCCAAATAGTCACATCCTGAGGTTCTGGCTGGACATGAATTTGTGGGAGGAGAGGAAGGCACTATTCAACACAATATACAATTTTAAAACTATACATTTTAAAATGATTTGAAAGCATTCTTTATTTCAAGTGGTGAACTATTCTTGTAAATTCTAAACTGACCTGTATTACATACTCAAAGAAAAAATATCTTCAGTTAACAAAGGTTTCTAACACTGAAGCTTTAAGTAAAAGGGATTTGTATTACCCCTCCACCAAAAAGTAATATCCATTCAGAGTTCTCAACCCGTGACCCTTAGACTTCTGCAAATGTGAAGGGTCATGCCAAGAAGTCTGGGAGTCTGGACACACACACTGTATGAAGACTGAGAAATGTCTCTCACTAATAGATACTACTGTTTTTTTAACTTAAATGAATACTGCTATGGTTAATCAAATACAAATTTGTTGAAAAGCATTAGTAAATTGATAACAGCTTTTTGCTATTACGTATTTCCTCAATCAAAAGATGCCCAAAACTAAAAACTATTACCCTAGGCCTTTCCAAGGGAACTGAAGAAAAGTAAATTAATATGACATATCAATCAGTTTCAATCTAGCAAATTGGCAAAGACCAAATAAATGATAACGGCAACTGCTGGCTACGCTGCAGACAGATAAACATTCGCATTCACTGCTGGGAGCATGAACTGGTGCAAACGGTATGGAAAGCCAATTGGTAAAGTATATCGAGATTTTTGAGAGGCACACATAATTTTTTTAAGCCAGGAATTTCACTTCCAGAAATACATCCCAAGGCAAGAAAATGAGCCCAAAGACTTCACTCAAGAACATCTAACTCAAAGTTGTCTCCACTAGGAAAAATGCTAGAAACAGCACAGGGCTTGGTTAAATTGCATGGCCTCCATACAGTTAACAATGTTCAGCCAATTCAAATGGACAGTTTCAACAAAGGCGAAAGCATGTGAGAGAGAAATAAGTTCATGAAGTCTTCCAGAAGTCTGCACGGCTTGCTCTCTCACCTCCTTCAGGTATTCATGCAAATGTCACCATCTCACTGAGAACTTCTTTGGCCATGCTCTCTAAAACTCCAATCCATACTCTACAGACTCTCTAAAACTCCAATCCATATTCTACATACATACACACACTTTATGCTCCTTCCCTATTTTTTTCCTTAACACATATCACCATCCGACACTACACAGTTCACTTACCTACCTTATTAACTACCACTGGAACATAAGCTCCATATTGGCAGATCTTTCGTATGAGTTTTGGTCACTGCTGATTCTTAAGCACCCACAAAATGCCTGGCATGCAGAAAGCATTTGATAAATATCTGATAAATTAATAATATATCAACTGAAAAAGTAGGTCATATCAGTATATGCTATATAATCTTATTTTTGTATTTCTCTCAAGAGAACAAGCAAACACATACATACAAAGAAAAGACGTCCGGAAGGAAAGTCAACAAGGTACTACCCTGATTCACAGGATTACAAGGCTAGAAGGTTTTTGGGTGGTGGTTGTTTTCAAACTGGGGCTGGAAGATTGAAGGGACAGAACTCCATGCATTTTCTAATATTTCTTAATATATTGAATATGTAATAAATGGGGGGGTTCTTGTTTTAATTTCAAAATAGAGAATCCCATACGCAAGAAGGTTTGGAATCACAATTTCATAGCACAATCCTTTAGGCTGAAGCTGTGGTTCCCAAACACAGCATTCTAGGGTACCAGGTGCCTCAAAATCTGCGGCACAGCCTGCAGAAAGCTCAAAATTTCTGTGACGTCTCTTAAAAAATTAATGCAAATGTTGCATTATTGTTGGATAACTTATCTGTATTTGTCTTATTATAAAAATGTATTACTTACCGGTTAAATGATTTAACATTTTTCCCCAAAACCATTGCATTAATTTTACATGTTGGGAAGATGCCCCATGCACCCCCACCCACTGGCCCCTATCTGTTTGAGAAGTGCAGCCTATTTGTTGCTGCTTGTTTTTCCATAATTAAAATAGATCTCATGAGTCCCGCATTTCATAGATCAAAAGACTAAGACTCTACCAAGGCAATCACAGTGACTTGTTCAAGGTCTCAATCTAGAGACAGAGTCCCAGACACCTCCATCTCCTGACTATCCCTTCAAAAGCTCTTTCTACTGTATTATTATATTATACATCTTATCAGTATGGCTTTTGGTACAATTGAAAACTAATCTCCATTTCTCCATAAAATAAACCCACAGCACATTTCTAACGGTCACACAATTCACAAGTAGGTAAGTGACATGCACAGCCTCCTGTAGATCTAGGTCTACAAAGGTAAGTGCACATTTAGCTGACACAATTACTAAGATGACATTTAGTTTAAAAACACTTTTTTTCCAAGCGACAGATTTTGCCTGATAGCTTTGAATAAGTTCAATATTTTAAAAATCTACTTTCTGGGCCTGATTTTTAATATCCGGTAAATCAAAGAAATTAGACCAAATAGAAATTAAGCTAACTTGATATGCTGTCCGCTATATTTCTTACAGTTTATGATGTTTGTATATATTCACATTATGTGTTGAAAAGGGAACCACTGATTCCTTATTAAAACTTAATTTTTCTGAATTGAGAATTAAAAATAACCACCTACTTAGATATAATCTTTCTTAGCAACTGACTTTTCTTTACCAAAAAGAATGTACGCATCACCAAATCACGGGTTGACATGCAGGCTCCCATGCAAGGCACAATGACAGGCACTCTAATTACATCATTTCACCAGGAAGTTCTCTCAACTCATAAAGTAAAAGAAGACTCATCACATAAAAATCACTCTGCTTCCCACTAACAGAGCACTATATATAAAAACTAATTTTAGTAATAGTAGCAAATTGATTTAAAGTTCAAGCTTCCTATTTAAATTCCAGTCTTTCTCACCTACATAATAGAAGAAATTTTGCAGACACTGTTACCATCTTATTTGTCACAAGGCTTGTGGTATGTCTCATGTTACAGCTATTCTCAAGAACCAACTATTAGCATAATACTAAGGTACAGGGTCCTGCTTCTGAAACCAGAGTAAGTGGGGTAATGCACCCTTGGATGAACACAGGACATAGTTCTGGAGATTCAAGAAAACAAAAACTAACTTTAATTGCAGTGGTACGTAACACAGTCCTTTTTCATGCTTACACATTTGGTTTATTAGAAGGGATAAAACGCATGACTTTTTATATCTATAAAGGAAGAAGATTTGCAAGCAAAAGGATAATCGTCAAGGACGCAAACTGTCCTTAACATCATCCCTCCACCTAGTAAAATAACTGGGATGATAGGTACAGAGCTAGGTACAACTCATGACAGGACGAGACGGATTTAGCAAAGAACCACAGCACGTTGATACTTCTGAGGGGCTGGATCATCCACTTTGGGAAATGAGCCATTCCCCTTGGAGGTAAGGTCAAGATCCTTTTGGAAAGCAGCTGCATCCTCCTGTTCCTTCCTCACCTCACTCCTCAAAGCTGCCTTCTCTCACTGTAGACGAGGACTACCCTTCGGTTCCCGGGTGCCCCAAGAGACACAGAGGAGAAACGAGTCTCTAGACCCCAGAACAAGAACACGAGAGGCCCTAGCACTTAAACAGGAAGACAGGCAGAAGAGGATTAGGAGTTGAGCACCAAGGGGTAGCTGTCTAGAAGGCATCCCCCCAGGGTTTGCTTAAAAACACAGACTTCTTGACGTCAGAGGTGCAGAAACGGCTGCCCCGGGAGACGCTCCCAGAGCAACCTGCCTGCTAGAGGTATCGGCTTAGGGGTGGTGAGTCCCTTCACGAATCGTGGGCGGGAGAGAAAACCGAGGTTTTGTCGAGCTGATTCTACTTCTCTAAGTTATAAAGTTATTAAAAGGCCGTAAGGTGATTCCCGGGCCCAGAACAAGGAAGCTACTTTGGGAACGCGCTCTGGAGGGCTCCCTCTGGGCGGCCCGCAGGCGGGGACCGGTGCCTGCGCCTGCCTGCACACGTGGAGCGCTTTCCCCCGCGCTCTCCGCGAAGCGCTGCACGTTCCCAGCTCCCCACCGCGCCTATTCACTGAATGAACGGAAGGAGAACGAAGATTTCCGGGGAAGCCACTCTACTCGGATCAAGACTTGGGGTAATCCCACTTTTCCAGGTTGAAAAGACCTTTCCCGCACTAGAGAGAGCTGCAAGCCGTGCGCTGGAGCGGGACGAAGGAAAATAAAGAGAAAGGGACGGGGCTGTGGGTAATTGAGGGGCTTCCCTCGCGCGGCTCCCTGGGCGCGGCCCCCCAACCGTCACCTGAACCCGGTGCGCCCGGGGGCCGAACCCACGCCGAGCGGTAGGCGCGGCGCCTGGAGGCCGCGCCACTGCAGCTGCAGGAGCCGGCCGCGTCCGGTCGCCATGGAGACCTGGCTGAGACGCCCAGCGGCGCGAGGGCGGGAGGGAGCAGCGCGCCGCCCCGACACGCCCGCCAGACGCCGGCGCACTCCGAGACGCGCGTGCGCAGAAGCGGAGCGGGGGGCGGGGCCGAGGACGACAAGGCTTTCCAACGCTCTAGAAGTTCTAGAAACTTCTGGGGCCCGGGTTCCTCCCACACTCGATGTCCTGACGCCGAGGACGCCGCGTGGCGAGTGGGTGACTTAGACTTTAACACAGTGTGGGCATTGCGGCCGCGACCTCCCTCTCCAGTTGCTGGCTCTCTGGTAGTTCGCACTTTCGCACTGGTTGCTGTCTGGTTTCCTGGGGAAGAAACTGAAACGCACAGGCTACATCATTTGCCCATGAGGAATGGCAGAGCCACATTCAGATGGAGAATTTCCCAGTTTACACAGTCCTCTGTAGAGGGTCGCAAGAACACGCAGTTTATAATTACTAATTTGATTTTTGCAAGTTCTGTTTGAACTACTCAGCGCCTATAGCACAAATTCCCCCCACCAACACGGATACATCTTCCTACTGCGAGAAGTACGTGCAACGCAGGCGCAGGCGAGGCTGGGAGGTGGCGAAAGGCCCGGCGGGAACTCTGGCCGCCTTGCACTTTGGGAGATGTAGTCCTTTTGCCTTCCCGCTGTGGCAACTCAGTAACACTTGAGATCCTCAAACTACTATTCCCAGGACTTCTAGGGGTTTCCCAGGTTGCTTTGCAAAGACATAGTGGGGCGATCGTGAATGTCGGCACAGAAGGTAATCAAAGCACTTTAATTCAAGTAAAAAGATGCCGAAAGAGTAGGGGAGGTGGACGTCAACGTCCTTCGGGAGACTTTTCGACTGCAGAAGCTAACGTTTTTGCCGAACACGCCGCGCAGAATTTCCGGTGTGAATGTGTAGACTTGAGTAGGCGTCCGCCTGGGGTGTAGCGGGAAGTGAAGCTTTTCGAGGTTGGCATCTTGCATAAACGGAGCGGCTTTCTGTGAACATGATTTGTACTTTTCTACGAGCTCTACAGTGTACGGAGAAGCTGCACAGGTCTTCGGGGAAGCGGCTGTTTTTGCCACACTTGGTGCTTAACAAAGCTTGCTTGAAAACTGAGCCCGGTTTGAGATGGGGGCTGCAAGAGCGGAAGAAAACGGTGCGGCCTCCGTGTATTGTTGGAGTCTCCCAGAAAACCATCTGGACGCAGGGACAGAGCCCCCAGAGAGCCAAGGAGGACAGCAGCAAACAAGTGTCTGTGCACAGCAGTCGGAGAGGGGAACCCGTCATCTCAACGTCACAGAAAGGTAAAAAGGAATTCTCCAGTAACGATCAGTCTGTCAACAAACGTGGCAAGAGCTGCCAGTGCCCCTTTACACAAGTTCAGTGCTAACGGTGGAAAAACAGTGCGTACAAATTAAAAGGTAGAACCGTTAGACACAGTTTAGAATCAGAGAATATAGGCCTAAAATTTTCTTCGCAGGTTTGCATTCAAATTTGAAAGTTGATTTTGATATAATTTTGTTGAATTATGTCTAGAAAATTTTTCTCAACTTTTATTAGTTCTGGTCTGGAGACAGCTATATAAAACTTAAGCATTGTTAATACTTTGTAATGGAAAAGTCGATTCCCAGATGTTTCATCTCATTTGAATCTCGCATTCGTTTTTTCAGACAGATCAGCACTGCCCCCTTTGTGTATGATGCACACTCCCCCGGTTTCACACAACCGAAAATTGAATGCACATTTTCCTATTTCAGTTTTCTGATATCCAGCTCAATGCTCTTTAGGTCAACCATTCACAAGTATTTCCTGAGCTTCCATTTTCTCTAAACTTAGCGCTTGAATGGGTGTTATTGGTTGTCCCACGGAAATCCTGTACACAAATAGGTTACCACCAAATTAGGAGGAAAATAGGTACAGAGTGTGAAACAGTGAAAAAAACGTTAATTGTGCTACAAAGAAAAAGTACTAGGGAGCATATGATAAAGAGTAATTGGATAGAATAAATAGAAAAGAAAGATTATTGAGTCATAATCCATAGAGATTAACTCATGTAGTTTCGCTCAATAAACACTTCTCTTGAGTGACTACTGTTGTGCCCAGATACTGAGTTAGACTCTATATATTACAGAATGAAGGATGTTCAAAACATCACTTACCTTCAAATGAAATGTGCAGTAATAGAATGTATAAAAGAGGAAAGGTAAAGTGTAATTCTGTCAGGTAAAGTCAGAGAAGTCCTCACAGATGAGATAAGAAATCATTTCATTTAACTTCTTATTGTTTATTCCTTCACTTTACAAGTAATTTGTAGAAAAAATAAAAAGGAAGCAAAGAAAGTATTCCAGACACCCGTGGCTATACCACACAGGATGACTATTGTTAATATTTTGGTTTATGTCATTTCAGTGCACATACTTTTTAACAATTCCAACAAAAAAAATTTAACTGTATCCTACCAGTTGTTTTGCAGTCTGCTGAATTTATCAAAAATATAATCATTCACTCATTCATAATAGCCTGAACAGGGTTGTGAGGGATGATTAAAAGTTCAGTACAAGTGAGCAGCCTGTATGCAGAGGTCAGAGGCACAGAAGTGTCAAACAGCGTGTGCTAGGTCATCTGGCTCCAGCAACAGCACTGCTTACACTGCAGGGGGGGCCCTGCTGCAGAGCCCTGTCCTGATCTGGACCCCACTCAGAGGTGGCAGCTTTCCTGGCGCCTTAGTGAAGGGGTGGGAGCACTGTGCCCAGATGTGGAGCGTGCTGCCTCCAGAGTCCACAGAGGCCCGTCACGCTGTGGTAGGACAGACGGGATCCAGTAGCTCGTCTTTTACTTGGCAAGGAGTGTCCCAGCATGCCCCACACAGTGTCCTCCTAAGAGTTTTGCTGATGTGTTGGCAAGCCCTGGATCTTTGCTGGGCTCATCCCCCACACTTGGAGCACATGTGTCTTACCAGGGGTCCCAACATACAGCATGCATGCCACTTGTTACTTTTGCCTCTGCCTAACATGATGGCATAAACAGAGTGGACAAATGTGATGTGTTGCAGAATATCCAGAACAGCAATGTCCAAACAAAACTTTCTGCAGTGATGGAAATGTTATCTATGTGTGCTTTCCCAGTAAGGTAGCCGCTAACCACATGTGGCTTTTGAGCACTTGAAATGTTGCTCGTGAGACTGAGGAACTGAGTTTTTATTTAAAGTTAACTTGAAGTCAATTTTAAAATTAAAGTCAAACAGCCACTTGTGGTGTATAGCTGCTGTACTGGACAGCCCAGATTCAGAAGGTCTGGGTCCCTTAAAACTATTATGACAGGTGGGACACTTAACAAATCCTGGGCAAGACTGTACATGTACACCGTTATTATCAGTTTCCTGTTAGTACAAACTGCTACTGCTGCTCCCTCTCAATAGAGAAGGAAAAGAATACATTCTCCAGATCAGTGGCCAATGCCATGAGTCTGTGTTAATGTGCTCCATAAAGTTATCATATCTGGCATTGCATCCGTATTGGGGCTACTGCTTGGTTGAATTTGCAGTGGACTGCTGTCATCCTCTAGTTTCTGCCTGGTTTTTGTAAGGGGCAGACTGGTGAATTACATGGGACTGTGATGGGCACCACTGCCCCTCTATCTTTAGGTCTTTAAGAATAGCTCTGTCTGCACCATTCGCCCTTAGATGTGAGACTGTTTTTGATTTACTGTCTGGGTCAGTTGGGGGCAGTTTCAGAGACTTCCATTGGACTTTCCCCATGCTGGTAGCTTTTAACCCACCCTCAAAGGAACTGAAGTAGGGGTTGTTGTTGCCAGTTACTGAGTATGTCGATTCCCGTTATACATTGGAAATCAGAGAAATATTACCTGGTGGGTCCCTGGACCCAGCTGTGAAGCTTTTACAAGCCAGGCTGTTTCTTACATGACCACCGTATATACCTAACAGAGGGGCCGTAATGGCTCTTTGGGTTCTGGGGTGTCAGTGTCAACTCAGACCGTCCAACAGACCTTGAAATGTTTGGGTATTCCCCTTTTTCTAGTGCATGGTTACCAAGCCAGTGGCTGTAGGTCTCTTTGGTGAAGAACCAGGGGCATCCTGTGTACTTGCTCAGGTGTCTCCTCATAGAGGCTGGTCTTTCCTTTAGTATATGGGTTCCAGGTCTGAAAACTGTTTCAGGTCCAAAAGCTGAGTCAGTGATCATGACTTTGCCTTGAGTGTCTGCCTTCAGCCTCTTGATCACCCATAATTAATTTCTCATGATAATATAGATTGAGCAATATCCTTGTCAGCTGCCCATCAGTCTCACCCTTGAGAACACTATGTTCTAGTATCATGTCTGTTGCTTTCTGCAGGTCAGACACCCCTGGCTGCCTCTTCACCCTTGCTATTCATTATGATAGTTGCACCCACCTACCTTCTGATGGTTCAGTGCCACAACCGTCCCCATGGCTGTCAGGATACCCTCTTCTGTAACGATGTAAACAGTGTCCTCCAGGCCCTCTACACAGCTGGTGGGTTTGGGATTTTGTTTCTTATATCCACTCTAGCATGCCGTCTCTCTGAGCCTTTCGATCCTTTCCTCCACAGTTTGCCATGGCAGTTCTGTCATTTTTAGCTCACTTAATGTGGACCGTCCTCTCTCCATGTTTCCAAGAGCAAACCTAGCTGTGCCTCACCTCCCAAGGTGCTTGCTGGATTGTTCAATTCTTGACCACAGGAGAGTGCTCCCATATTGATACACTCTCACTTGTCCTGTTCTGTGTTCTGTGCCCCTTGATGCCATCCTTAGGATACAGTCACATGTGTGCTCTCACAGCTCCTGCTGGGGGGACCTACAGCTCCTTCAGGGCTTCATCCTTTTCCTCTTTCCTCCCAGTTATGTCATAACCTGGCAAGAGCACATCTTGCTAGATTGAAGCCCCCAATTAGTCTTCAAGGAGGAGAAAGAGCTAGCCTTGAACTGGGAGGCATGAGCTGCTGCTTCAGACCTGGAGGGTTCAGGAGAATCTGTGGATTTGAGATTTTTTAGTGTATCAGCCTATATGTCTCCATACCAAGCTTCAGATTCCCTTTCCTCCCAAAATTAGGACCCTGGCCTTGACATGGGAGACCTGACAGGTTGAAATTCCAACCTCTCTGCTGCTCTTATGCCCTGGGCCTGACCTTCAGCTTTTTCTTTCCTCTAGGTACAACAGAGGCTCATCTCTGTTTTGTTATCAAGGAGGCCTCTACTTTCGCACTTCACCTTCACTGGGGATTAGTTACTCTCATCTTACTATCTTTATCTTTCTCTATTGCATTGGCAGCCCCACACCACAGCCATTCAAACCAAGTCCTTAAAGTGGCTTATTCCTCCTGAATTCCCAATATATGATACCAACTAGTGCATTCCCTTTCACCAGTATTCCAACCCAGCTCTCCATGAGTAGAGCTGCAACAACTGCATATCACTGTGTGCCAGGCCTCTCAGTGCTGTACCCACCAGCCAGCAGCCAGTGATCCAGCTCCAAAATCCCAGTTTGGAACAGCTCCCTAGGACCACTCCTGGTAGCACCTGTCCCAGTTGGGTCCCCATGGAAGCAGACTCAGTGGGATTTGCATACAGGAGGTTTTTGGGAGTGCTCAGAACACATCTATGAGGGGTGAGGGAAGCAGGATTATGCAGAGGGAGAAGTTGAAGTGCAGTGCATTTGCAGTAGGGGCCTCAGCCAGTTCTCCAGGGAGCTCTGAGGCTGGGCTGGCCTGTCACCTTCCAGCATAGGGTGTGGGGGCTGAAAACACCAACCAGGCATGAGGCGCGGGAAGGGCCAAATCTTTGGTGAAAAGGCTGTCTTCAGATGAAGGGCTGTCTAGACGGGAACTCAGCTGAGAACCATCAGCCCCTAAGCTCTCCATAGCTGGGGGAATGGGAGCCTCAGTCCTGAGGGGAGGAGCTGGGGCCTCTCACCACAGCAGCCACTCCTGCAGAGACAAATGGCAGAGTTTTTTGCATGAAGGTATAGGTCTGAAAGGGTCAAGAAGAGGAAGGTAGGCAATGAACAGCTTCCAATCAAGACAACTATAAAATAACACAGAGACTTTACACATGTGCGGACTGTGGACAATACCCAGCACAGGGCTTTGCACATAGTGGATACACAGTAAGTGTTTATAATTGAATAATAGAGAACGCCTTCCAGATACCCTCAGCAAGGCGGGATGTTTGCATTGAGAGGGGCAATCAAGAATCCAGGGTGTTGGGACCAAAGACCTGATGTGGGTAATGGAATAATATGGCTACTTACTAGTATGGTCATTATTGTAGTCTCAGCTTGGGGCTTGGCACACAGCTGGCAGTTAATATTCAGGACGTGTATTTCGTAAACTTAATAGAGAATGAAATGAGACGTTCTCGTTGTCGGCCTCTCGACTCCTGAGCCCGCTAAGGAGATGAGATTGTGGCAGGGATTGCATAGTCAAGCCCATGAATTGCATGTTTGGGCAGATGCAATCTTTTTGTTATTTCAGTCACATCTTTTTAGTTAGGAACCTGTACTGAAATCTTGAAGGATTATTATGCTAAAAAGTACTTTTAAATAAGTGTTATTTTATAAAAGTAACAGAAGCTTATTGTACAAAAGGGAAAACTATAAAAATAACCTGTAAACATTTTGTTGTATTTCTGGAAAGAAAATTTGTAAGAGATTTGTATTCCAGAAATCTGTGTTCCTAATGTAGTGAATAAATTAATCTATAAATATAGCACCAGGAGGTGATTCACTTTTCAGCATCAGTGAAAAAGTATAGTTGCAATTGTAACGTTAAAGCTCTTTGCATATGTATGTACATATGTATATCTATACATATAAATATATATTCTGTCCCATGATAATATGTTGATTGAATTTATTTAGCTTTCAGAACTTCTATTTAATCCATATGCACATTTTATTAGTATCGGGGAAAAAAAAGTACAGATTCTGGGCAAGTTCTTCATTTTCTAAATCCATTCAGTTCACAAATCTGTCTGGCCAAGCAAATTCCTGTTCTGAATTTAGTTCTCTGTTCATTGTGGGCACAGCCAGTGGGGTGGCCAGAGGAGAAAGTTCCTGAATGTTAAGAGTCAAGGCCTGTTTTGAGCCCTTTGACTCAGTTGACAAAGCCAGCACTTTCCTTAATCTGACAGCAAACTGTATCGCCTGTTGCCTAATCTGTGACAGTTGTTTTCACACTGAGGGGCTGGATCACTTGTTAAAAGGATTTCCTCAGCTTACAAAGTAAGGAAGTATTAAAATTATGCTAAACAAAATAAAAATACTGACTTCTAGGCCTTCCTCCCAGAATTCTACTGAGGTTCTTTAAAAAGTTTCTTGAGGAGGTTCTGATTTGCAGGGAGATTTGAGGACAGCTGCTGTGGAACACGTGGAGACCCACTTAGGTCCTGAGGCCACGTCACCTCCTGGAAATACTGTGGCTACCCGTGTTCCTACTCATGTGTGACTCGGTGTTTTCTCTTTACAGTGAAAGAAGCCGGACGAGATTTTACCTATTTGATAGTGGTGCTTATTGGAGTCAGCATTACAGGTTGAAAACACAGCAAGTATAATACCCCTGAATATCTTTTTTATTTATCATTTGTCTTGCTTCACTTTGCTTGATCTTCTTTTTCTGTGATTTCCAGGTGGCTTGTTCTACACGATTTTCAAAGAACTTTTTTCTTCATCCAGTCCTAATAAGATATATGGGAAAGCCTTAGAAAAATGCAGATCACACCCCGAGGTTAGTCCTCAAGACTGAGTGACACGGACTCTGATAATCGGGAGAAAATGTTGGGGAGCGAGGGGAGTGGGCAGAATTCGTGTACCAGTTCTGAGACTAGTGAAGTTTGTGTATGGTAAAACCATAAGGCTTGGATTGTGATTATGTTATTAGCTCTTTGTTCTGTACTAGAAATGCTTTGATTAAGAGCAACCAGGTGCTGGCCGCGTGGCCAAGTGGTTAAGTTTGCGTGCTCCGCTTCGGCGGCTCCAGGGTTCCACCAGTTCAGATACCAGGCGCGGACATGGCACCACTTTTTAGGCCATGCTGAGGCGGTGTCCCACATGCCACAACTAGAAGGACCCACAACTGAAATATACAACTACGTACTGGGGAGATTTGGGGAGAAAAAAGCAGGAAAAAAAAAGGAGCAGCCAAAGTTCCCTGGAGGGGTGTTTTCATCCTAGTTGTACGAGAGAGTTATTTTACTAGTTGTCATTAATAATAAATGCTTAGACTATACCAGAGTATTAAACTCACGCACTGTCTAGTCCTTTTAAAATACCTGATTCATGACCTCATGATCATAATAGTAACTGTTGATGCTTATTGAGAGCACAGTGTGTGCCAAGCAGTGTGCTCAGTGTTCCAGTGCATCGTCTTTGTTAAACGCACAGAAACCATTTGCGTTAGGTACTGCTGTTACCCTGTTTGCAGAAGAGGAAACTGACACTTAAAGAGATTAAATGACTCCACTAAAATCAGAGCCGATTAGTGGAAGAGCCCGAACCTGAATCCAAGTTCGTCCGATTCCACATCTTATGCTTTCAAGCACAGCCTGCCTAAACCGTTCCCTGGGAGGAGGGAGACGCCGAAGAGCCACCTCAGTTCTTTGAAGGATCCTGTCCAGAAGGAAGGCTTTCTGTGAGGCTTTCCAGTCGCAGATGGAAAGGCAGCAGAGCCTGTGGAATGCCCGATTCCTCATCCCTAGGCAGAGAGCTCCAGCACTGAGAAATAGTACTCACTGGAATCCTCACTCTTGTACCCTCAAAGAAGACAGCAGATAACATCTTAAGTATGAGGGCTGTTTCTCACACAGGCAAGGAGTAGTGCCAAAGAAAGAGAACATGCACTCCCTGGGAGGGGAAAGATGGAAATGCACGCTCTCAGCCCAAGTGCCCTGCACTAGTTTTCCCTGGGGCACGCCTCCAAGTGCTCCATCCATTTCTCCTCATGTCAGGGAGGAATCCTCAGAAGCTAATGCTCTCTGGCATGTTTCTTTTGAAATCTGCTGATTTCTCTTAAGGGGACTGGACAGTCTGAGAACCATGAAGAAGGAGGCAGGGAGGGAGATGCATCTCTGAGTAAGATGAAAATAGTAGGAAATGAGGAAGATTCCCATTATAGTTATCGGGAGTCCATGTGATACCTGACGGAAACTCTTTAGAAACTACAAAAGCAAATATGAGTAGTAGCATAATTAAATGATTGGACACAACTCTAAAAAGAGATGAAGAGTGGCTGTATTATTCACAAACTCAGCCTTTCAGAGATCTGCAGCATTTCGAACAAAACTATACAGAATAAACACAACGAGTGGGCATTATTAAAGTTATAACTTAATTTGCTACCTAAAAGAGGTTTGCAAATACTAACTTCAACAATTCAGTTTGTCAACACTGAAGAGCCTGTTCTTTGCCAGGAGCTGTGCCCGGTTGAAAAAGAGAAAATTCCCACATTCTGATGCGATGTATTGAATCTATTAAAGTAAACTACCTGAACTGGTGTTCAGTTTGTTTCAGCTACTCAGTTCTTAAATATTTCTCTCTTATCTTAACATTATTCCTTTTATGCCTGAAAAATGTTTATGCCTGTTTATACCTGAAAAATGTGATACTGAAGATTCCCAACAGACAAAATAAGAAAACTTTTATAGAGTTGAGGCAATATTTGTTTTAGTTTGATGTCACATTTCTATTTTTTTTAAAGATTGCGAAGTATTTGCATTTTAAATTCAATAAAAACTACATTTGCACTTCATTGTGAGTTTTCCAATTACAAATAATTGATTCCCATCTCTAGGTCTGGTAATAAGAGATCGTTATGACTTGTTTTTATTTCACTGTGTTTGGTGACTTAAAAAACTATTTTGCTCTCATAGTTTTTAGTATTAGACCCCATTAGGTAAATTTCACTAAAAATATTTGAACTTTTAAATATCTGAACTCTTTATTTTGTTGTTTGTTTTTATAAGGGGAGTGGGACTAGCTTCCTACACTGTTGTGAAACTACAAGTAACACCATGAAGTTACTTATTTCAATCTCTGTGCCTTAAATATTTATTTATGGGATGATTTTTACATGATAATTTTTTTCAGTTCTCTCATCATTGGAGTTGTTGTTTTGAAAGGGTCCTAGGCTTACTGATTTTTTTTTCCTAAAATAAATCACTTGGTTTGTCAGAAAATATTTCCTTAGAAAGCTTGAAAAAAAATAGCTCTTACCAAATGAAGCATTGTCTTTATGCTCCAGGTGCTCAGTGTCTTTGGGGAGCCTGTGAAAGGCTACGGGGAGGCGACGCGGCGCGGACGAAGGCAGCACGTCAGGTACCGCACTTTGCTTGAGTCTGGAAAGCTCGGGGATGGTTTTTAAATGAAATGAGTTTAGGCTTATCTTCCTTCATTTTCTTGGCAGTTTTATTGAATACGTAAAAGATGGGCTGAAACACATGCGTGTGAAATTCTACATCCAGGGCTCTGAGCCTGGGAAGCAAGGAACCGTGCATCTCGAAGTGAAAGAGGTGTGAGGCTCAATCGTAGTGGGTTAGATGATTCTGAATGCAGTGTTTGCTACTGAAAGCACTGGAAAGAAAAATAACACCTTGAAATACATTTTTTTTCCAGAACCCAGAAAGTGGCGAATATGAATTTCAATACATATTTGTAGAACTTGAACCCTACCCTAGAAGAACTATTATCATTGAAGATAATCGGTCCTGAGACAATTAAAAGAAGCAAGCAAGCATGCTAATTGCTGCTGGATGTTGGGTGGTGCAGACTCACAGCTCTCATCTTCACAGCTCCTCCACAGTCTATTTTGAATAGGACGGGAAAGAGTGTGTAGTTCATGAAAGTGAATGTAACTGGGTAGTTGTTGCATTTAGACAAACTGAACTAGAGATCTTCTTGTAGAGTGAAAAATCATGACATAGAGCATATTTTGTGTTATCTCATTGAATCATCAATCGTGGACAGTATTTGTGCTCTACTTAAAATCATCTTTTATGATAAGAAATTTTGATTATTAAAAATTTTTCACCATGTAAATAAGAAAACAGAGTTCAGTATTTTATGCTTTTTTATGTTGTATAAATGTATAAAATCTGTAAAATAAAAGTAACAAAAAGATGCTTCCTTCCATATACTTCAGAATCTGACTTGAGGTGAACACTTGGAAATATTTGAGAACTGTAGGGGAACCACATGGTAAATAAGCTCTTCACCACTATCATAGGAAGGTTATACACATTGTATGGTTTTTAGTAATCCGGGGTGGCTCGTTTTTCCCCCTTTGTGAGTTGGGGGACATTATACCCAGTGGGGAAAGTACGCACTCTAAAGTCAGGTGGACCTGGCTTCTCACCAGGTGTGTGGGCCTGTGCAGGTACCTTAGCCTTGTCAGACCTCACTGTCATGGCTTGTTAGGGCGACTGAAGGAGATGATAGGTGCCAGTGCCTGGACCATAGCGGGCACCCAGGAAGTGTCCCCTCCCCTTTAGGACTTGCACTGATGCTTTATACTGCCAAAAGAAGCGTGGAAATGAGTGAGAGTCATTTAAGCATATATGCAATGCCTTTTTGGGATAGCACACCGTATTTTACCTGAAGTATTTACAGAGGACCTGGAACAAAGTGACATTATACAGAATCGTGATTACTCTTGTAAGTTAAAGTGCTGCCTGCGCTGGGAGAGCTCTGCACTATTGAGGTATCGCTATAAAATGTCCCTTCTCCCTCAGAACTGGCTACAGAGGAATTTCTAATTGTGGAGTATTTGGGATGGAAGGACCCCCAGGCAATCTGTCTCCCCTTTTTAGTCCATCTCCCTGCTTGGTTTAGTTCTACCTTTAGTTTGTTTAGTTGCTCTTTTTGAATGTTTTTAATTTTAATTATGAAAAATTTCAAACATTTAGGAAATACAGAAAATACCACAGCAAATGCCCCTGTCTCCCTGATGTACCACATTTTCAAGTGGCTAGGTGAATTTTTAACTTGGGCTCTGTCTCCTAACCATTCTTTCCTCTCCTTTCCAGTAGGATGCCCAATTTCAGTATTGTTATTTTTGACTGAATTGTCAGCATTTAACAGGGTGAGAAGTTCTGTTCACTATCCTACACTCAGAAAAGCAGCCCTGCTCTTTCATAAGACCTGCTCAAATCAAGGCTTGACTGGGACCTGGCCTCTGAGCCCATTGGGGCTTTAGCCTGCCCTCCTGACCCTGTTTTTATGGTTTAGGACCAAATTCTATATTCATCTTTATGTGCCTCCCATTTTATGATAAACCCGTGCCTCTTAGATATGAACTTATCATTAAGTTGCTTCTATAATCAGAAATTAATTTTTCAAAAGGAAAAATCTCTGTGCTCAGATTCTTCTGTATAACCATGGGAAAATGTTGTATGCAATTTTTTAGATACCTTTGTTTTCTTTCCCTCTGACAATTTGATACCACATGTTAAAATTTTTCCGTTTTAAAACAATTCCTTTAATCAACTTTGGTATCTCTGATTCTGATTTTGGTATCTCTGTCTATGGGCTTACTCCGGTCTTTTCTCTGAAATCTTTTCTAAAATCTGGAGCCCACATCTGACCATGCCCAGTATCTCCTTCTATCATTTATACAAATTAAAAAATGATATGGTCATTTTCTTCCAAGGCTTTTATTACTTCATCCGCAATCAGTGAACCTTTTTGTCAGAATTAAGTGTAGAGCAGCATTTCCTCTCCTGTGCTCTCTCTTCAGTGAAGAACTTGTTGGCAGGACAAGTCAGGAATTTGTCAGAGGTTGTACGTTTAACACAATGAGATACCAGCCCATCTACCTACCTCGCAGACTCCACAAACATTTCCTTCCATTTAGTGAGCTACAGTGATATTAATTGTTACCCTTATTATTATTCAAATATGATTCCCCAACTCCTATTTCATGGATTTCCACTTAGGGTCATACTTACTTTATATACTACTATTTAATATAACTGATAGAGTACTAATGTGTTCCATCTGTTAGATTTCATTCATTCAACAAATGTTCATTGAGGACAGGCTGTATGTCAGACCGTATGCTAGGTTTAGAGAACCCTAAAAGGAAAAATTATAACCCCCGTCTTTGAGGAATTTCAAATAGGTGAAGAAAACAACACGTGGTTGCTCTAGTGGTCTGACCCAGCGAGAGTGTGAGGATCAGGCAGCAAGTCAGCCCAGGGCGGTCAGAGGCTTCAGAGAGGAGGAACCATTAGAGGTGAGGTTGATGGGGAGGTAGGAGATTGCCAAGTCACCATGTGAGGAGGGGATATTTTCAGCTGAAGAAAGCATGTGCCAAGGTCTAGATATAGCTACACGCACTAGCAATTATTGGCACAGAATACACTGAAAGGGAGAGGGGACGCCCAGTAGTGGGAAGTGCTGAAGTTCCAGTGGTGAGCAGTTGCCGACAGCGCCCTCGCTCTCTTGGGACTTAAAGTCCAGAAGGGGAGACAGACCCTAAACAAATAGCTATCCATGTGATAAAATGGTCTGTGTGATTAAAAACCGGTACATGTGTAAAGGAAAGTTAGGACAGAGGGACCTCATCCAGTGGGTTGGTCAAGAAAGGATTTCTTTCAGACGAAATGCCATTTGAACTGGAATGTGAAAGGACAGGTTATGACTGAAAGAGCCGTATATACAACAGCTCCAAACCAGAAAGGTGCCAAGACTGAAAATAGGCCGGTGTGACTGAAGTACTGGAGTGGGGTAGGTCGTGGGGTGCAGGGGGCCTAGCACGTCTGGTAACAACAGGTAAACGTTTTCATTCTGTAGGCAATGGAGAACATCAAGGAAATTGGAGCAGGAACGGAAGCTATCTAATTCTAGAAAGAGAATTCGTAGCTGTGTGAGGGATGAGACTCCAGGGAAAGAGACTGGGATGAAGGTTATTAGGATAGCTCAGACAAGAGGTGAAGCTAGAAAAGAGTTGTTACATTTGAGAAATATTCAGGGGTAAGAGGACAGGACTTTGCAACCAGGGGGTGTAGGAAATAACATGGAGGACTCAAAAACAGCCTTCAGATCTGGCTGCAGTGACAATATTAAGAATTCAGGAACAGGGGTTATGAGTTGGGGATAATAAGATCTCTGAGCTTGAGGTACATCCGAGTCAGCCAGGGGAAGGGTCTAGAAGCAACAGGATATTCACGTCTAGTGCTCAGGAGACTATGTGGCCTAGAGAAGGGGATCTAAGAGTCACCTGCAGAGAGGCAGCAGCTGAAGCTGATGGGGGGGCGGGGGGCGGGTGGTGAATTGCCCAGGGGGAGCATGTAAAGGGAGAGTGGGGACTGGAGGACTGGAGGGCAGGATTACCACGTGACTGGGTCCTCTGCCCCAGTACCATCTTGCAATCCCCTCCTTCCCTGAGATGGTTAACAGAGGCTAAGAAAGGACTTTCGTGTTTTCATTTTAAATTTTAAATTTGTTTCGTCTTATATTTTTGTTGTGTTGTTAAAGATGAAGAAATTTGAGAACATGCAAAAGGAAAGGAGGCAATGGAGGAGAGGTTGAAATCCAGGGAAGATAAGGGACAGGATGGAGCAAGGTCCCTGGGGACTCGGTTCAGAGCAGAGCTGAAGGCAGGATAGCGGCACGTGCAGAGAAGTCTGTGCATGGGTGACAGATCTGGAGGCATCTCCAGCTGGTCAGCCTCAGTACATCATCAGCTAAGAGAGAAGTCAGAGTGGGTTTGGGACTTGAAGAGGGAGCTGAAAGTTTGGAATATCCTCTGAAGGAGAAGAGAGGAAACTGACCATGGAGAGATGGCCAAGGTGAGGCCAGACTCAGAAAGTGTGTGGAAATTCTCATCTGCACAGATGGGTCACCTTCTCCCGCAGGGTCCGCAGTGATAGGCAGGGACAAGGCAGCTAGTTGGATCATCTGTGGTTAGTTTGCTGCGCTGCTGAAAGAGTTGACTTGTTTCTTTGGAAGAATGTATGCCCTCACAGGTCAGTGAAGAGGGCCTTGCCCACCCAGACTTCAGCACTTACTGGGACGCTGCAGTCTTTAACACTGCTTGGCGTTCACGAAGCCTTAGATAATAAACAAAGAGAACGAAGTAGAGACCCAGACAGACCCAGAGACAGGAAACTGGTTATACGTCAGAGGCTGCGTTACAGAGCTGTGAGAAAGGATTCAATATTCAACGAATAGTGCTGGAATGATTGTTACGCAGGGGGCGAAAATGAAATTGGGTCTCTACCTCACAGCACACAAGGATCAATTCCAGGTACATTAAAACCTCATAACTTTTAGAAAACAATAAAGATTATCCTTGTGACATTTTTGGAAATGTCCTTAAACAAGACACAAGATTCAAAACCATGAAGAAAAAGATGGATTTTAAGATTAAGAACTTAATCAGAAATAATAACTAAATAAATAAAAGTAAGCCACTAATGAGGAAACTTTAAAGCACATGTAGCAAAGAAGGGATTACTTTTCAGAACACGCAAAGAACTCCAAAACAAGCAGGGAGGAAGAAGCAGCAACCTCGTGCAAAAGTGGGCGAAAGCCCAGAAGAGTTGTTCAGGAAAGAGAGAACACACAGAGCTAACGAACTTCTGAAAATACTTTCAGCCTCACTAAAATCCAGCAAATGCAGAATGGGTGACTAGTTTTCATGCACCAGATTGATAAAAAATTGTAAATCAGTAAAGAAGTGAATGGAGCACAGGGACCCCTTATTCTCCACTGGAGGGATATAGTGGAACCTGCTGGGTAACAACTGAGCATTATTTAGCATAGCTGAAAAAGCAGACCCTCCATAAGCCAGGACATCTTCCTGTAGCTGTTTACCTGAGAAAACCTGTGGCACATGCACCTGGAGTCAAGTACAAGATACATAACAGCAAAAATCTGGCAAGTTTGGACAGAAGACTGATGAAAAATACTCTGATACACAATTTCGGTTACCATGTGCTGTGGTCTGAATGTTTGTGTCCCCCTAAAATTCATATGTTGAAATCCTAACCCCAAAGGTGATGGTATGAGGAAGAGAGGGCTTTTGGGAGGTGATTAGGTCATGAGGG